CTCCCCGAGGGGCGCCTTAACTGCCCTGCTTAGGAAATCTGAGCAAGACATTCGTAGTCAGCTGAGGAACTTCATTTATGGGCGTGGGATCTCTGGCGTGTAGCTCAACAGCAATTGGATCTCAGGCCTGCAGGCAAGGATCGGCTGCACAAATAGGTTTTGCAGCTATGCTTTGGGTTGTCCCGGCAGGGCTTTGCATTCGCGTAGCCTGGCAAAGCCTTGGCCAGTTGGTTTGAATTCGTGCGAGTCATCTGAGTTTCAAATTTATGTAGTCCAGGATTTGCGTTGTCAGGAGACGGACATATTTCTGTGGCATGGGCAAGCACGGTCATGAACTCCATGCCCCTGCACCCGAAGGCTAATGGCACCTCGCGCTGCCGATTTCCCAGATCTTACCAGGCCACCCCGCTGGGCTGTTGATTCTTCCAATTGTTGCACCTCTGCCCTCAGAAGCATACATATTAGTACAGACAGCTGAATGGTTTTGGCAGTTGAAATTTCTTGTCTTAGTATTGCGTAACAGTCATGTGTTTTTCTTCAGTGTGTGGCATCATTCTGGGTTGCGCGCCGTCTTGCTGCTTGGAGGGACCAAATAAGCGTACTTGCAACTCCCATGAGCCACATAGTGATCTCAAGTTATCCCCGAGACTCCCGGTGTTCACCTGTTTAATAAGTCCCCGTGACCTTCCAAGAAGGCACTAGGCAGCAGTGTTCCCAAGAAAGCCAATCTCGCCATCAGCTCAGCCAGGGACGCAAGATCTATGACCCCTGCGGACCGATGCCACGAAACAACCTCCGCCGTGTCCTTGCCTTCTTCACAGGCTGGAGTTTCCCAAAATTAGGGGTACCTCCTTGGGGGTCCCCATATTTTGGGGTATGTATTGGGGTCCCCCTATTTTGGGAAACTATCATGTTGGGGTGGTGGGCAGGCTGGAGGTTGCCGTGGGGAGTATGGTGAAACGTTTGCTGCGCACTTGAATTGTGGGCAGGCGTAAGTATTTGCACACAAAGGAGCGTTACGCGTTGGTCACAGCAGTCGAGATGGCAATGATAGTAAAGCATTTGGTCAAAGAGAAGAATCATAAGATGTAGGGGTCACAGTAGCTGCACTACGTTGTGATAGCAACGACAGCACCCTTTGGAATGACAAAGCTGATATCATCAGTAATGATGGTTGCAGTCACAGTGATCGTGGCATAAAAGCATCACAGAACCAATGTCGTAGAAGATTGATAGTCCTGGCGGAGGCTACCTGAACCTCACCCTTGACATCGACACGCTCGCCTTCCAATTCCAAAACCCGCTCAGTTTGGCCTTGCGCCCCACACTCGAAGGCCAGCGTTGAAAGCATGATTGTTCACATCATGATCCCTCTGGCGCCGCGTTTGTAATACAGGAATGGATCCCTAAAACAAGAAAAGTCTTTGCCAACCAAGCAATGGCGTGACTCGCGGGATTATGCGAACAAGAGTTTCTTTGGGTCACCATTCACACAATTGGATGATGTCTATCTTAGGAGTCTTGCGCTCAAACTATCCTGGTCGCAGATCAAGTCGCGCAGGCGAGCGCTGCCACGGGCCGTGGGACGTTCACGACATGGACTTCCATGCAGGTGCAATGTTTTTTTTGGTAGAGGGCGCCGCGAACAAATTGAGGTAACGAAGGTCAAGATTATCTTCTGATAGCCCTTCATTGTTGTGATTGAAACTCCCGGAACAAAAAATCTTCCGTGTACAGCTGCTCCTACTGCAGCCTCTGCCCTGCGCGCGGAGGCTACCCCATTCGCCTCGTGCGTGGTGGGAGATACTTGCACCAGTGGTTGGTCCTAAACGCAACATGCCGCTGGACTCTGACACTATGCATGTCTGTGTGGCAGATCTGATTTTGTTCTGCTTCTTGCCTCCCATTGTGGTTAAGGTGGCAATGCCACCGCGATGCTCGAGTTCAGAGTGTGGCCTCGCTGCTTCGATGTCCACGTGATGTCAGATGATAGCTCCCTCCGACCTGGCTTCGAGGAGCTAAGCACCTGAGAGCCCTGCTGAAAGCATCGAATGCGTCGTGGGTACGAAGTGCTTGTCTTATACCTCCAGAATATGTAAGCTGAAAAGGAGGAGCTGGGAGGTGCTACATCTACATTGAGTGGCGGACCAGGTTACAGCATTGCTGCATACTGCCTTCGATGCGAGGGCGCGCCACTCGGCATCCAAGCGAGAAGATGCGGATTTTGTACTCTGTTTGCCAGGAATATGATAGTTTACCGTTTACCTAAGTAGGACCCCAACATCGACGCTAATAGACCATAATCCTTGTTATTGGGACCCCCAGAGAGGTACCTTCAATTCTGGCAAAGCACCATATGGTAGTTTCCCAANNAATTTTGGGAACCCCCCATATCTCATCGAAAGTTGTGCAGGGATTGGGCTCGAGCCCGTTCCTCTCTGCACAGCTGAAGCTGACCCCTTTCTGTCCTCAGTTGAGCTATAGTCGAAACTCCTTAAAGGGGGTTTATAGGGGATATATTGGGATAATGGAAAAGAAAATGGAAACTACTATTTAGGGTTTGGGATTTGGGGTTTAGGGTTTAGGGTCGAAACTCCTTAAAAAGGGTTATATAGGGGATTATGTAGGCGAGTATTATAGGGGCGACTAAGGGGGATACTAGGAGTTTAAACTATAGCTCAGTTGAAGGCACACACACCGCTTAACAGAAAAGGCTTCTACGTTTCAGATTTGGTAGTTTCCCTAAACAGGGGGGACCCGAATATAGACACTGATATACTATAATCCTTATTCTTGGGACCCCCAAGGAGGTACCCCTAATTTTAGTTTTCCATTATCCCAATATAATCCCTATACTACACCCCTATATAACTCCTATATAACCCCTAACTCCTATATAACCCCATTCCTTTGTCCGTCTTTTCCAGGTGCCAGTGGAAACGGCTGGAAGCACCCTCTGGCTCGAACGCTTGTTGCCCGCACCTGGCCCGCAGGGAAGTTCTTGGGGTCAACATGCACTGTCCTTCATCCTTATAGTCAGGGTAATATGAGCCATAGTCTAAACTCCTTAAAGGGGGTTTTATAGGGGATTATATAGGGGTATATTATATGGGTTACTAAGGAGGATACTAGGAGTTTAGACTATAGCTCATATCTGGATCATACTATGAGGCTTATGTAGAGTTATAAAGGGGCATGTGGAGATTATGTAGGATATCATGTCAGCAGTATGTGATCTGAAGCAGAGCGTTTGAGGGTTGAGCATGGGTTCGGTGTCATGATCACCTGGAATGTATACGGAGTTCTCCCACCATGTTGTCCCCTTAAGTAGAGCATGAAATTCGCCCAATATCATATTAAGAGCCCCCTATGCTCCAAAGTTTATCTACTCATGGGGGACTATAGTCATAAACCTTAAACCCTAAATTTTATCCTTTTGCAAGCTAAGGATTGTTGACTTAAGGGAGTTCTCAAGTGGGTAGCTAGCAGGTGGGTGCCCGTACACAAGGCCCATATTAGGCTTGCATGGGGACACTAGGACTACATAAGGGCTATGTAAAGCTTATATGGGGAAACTTACACTAAACCCCAACAAGAACCACTGAAGGGTCTGAGCGGGATTGTAGGCAGTTCAATCTTGCACGCTGGCTCCTGTGAAGGGTGCATGCCTAAGTCAGGGAGAGAGCACGTTTTGTCCGGTGACCGCAGCATATGCTGCGAAGGGTTACATCGGGACCATGCAGATGCCAGTTCATGATCCATGGAAACAGGTCTCACAAAGAAACCTAAACTGACGCAGAAGTCCGAAGGGGTTGAGAAGCCCCCTACACTGAAAGTTCCCCTAAACCCTAAACCCCCGAGCGGCTGGGAGGTCAAGGGCTTCTGAGGACTGGAGAGAAGCCCTGCTTTAGGGATCATACAGGATCATATAGGGAGTATATAGGGATTATATAGGGGTTATATAGGGAGTATGTGGGATGTAGGGGTGATGTAGGGATTTTGTAGGGATTATCTAGGGGCTATATAGGGGTTATGTAGGGGTTATATAGGTGTCATGTACTGATTATATATGGATGTCACCCCAACCATCGAACATCGAACGGAAAAGATCATGGAACATGACATGGGAAGTACCTTTTTGTGTGTTTTTACACGGATTAGGGCTTCCTTGCCGGAACCTTTAGAATAAGGACTACACATGGTGTATTCTGGTGTCTCCTCCGATTGATCTTCCATTGTCATTACGATATAACCTTACGGAACTATTAAAGGTAGCATTTTTGAAGATATAGGTCTAGGGTGATTCCAGAGTTGAGCTGACTAGACCCTAAACTCTGGACCCTAAGCCTTAAACCCGAAACCCTACATCCTAGACTCTCAGCTCCTCAAACCTTGTAATGTCAGGTTGGGCGCAGGGCTTTGTGGCTTTGGGCCGCAAGCTGCTTGCACGGTGCCTTTGGCGCACTGGAGCCTCGGCGGTAAGTTTAGGGTTTAGGATGTAGCAATGAGGGTTTAGGTGTAAGGGTCAAGGGTTTCGGGTGCAGGTATGGGGGTTTAGGTTCTGGGGTGTCGGAAGTAGGGTTTGGGCTTGAGGAATTAGGGTTTAGGGTTCCAAGAAATATCAGGTTATCGCTGATCCATGAGAGGTCAGAAGTTTCAACTGCAAATAGTCATTGTAGTTGGTCAAAATGCCACGTGCTGTTTGGAGTTCAGCAGTTCCATTCTTACGGGGCCGCGGTTCAACGTATCATTTTTTGGGGGTCAAAAACATATGGATCCAGTGTCAAGAGAAGTCTTGATACAGCTTCGCAGAGAAACCCATCAGCTTCTTGGATACGCCACTTGATGCTGATACGATGCCCCCCTCCCGAAACCTTACTAGTCCCCCTTAAGTAGATAGAATATGGCTTTGGGTATATTATATTCAGATCCCCATATACCCCATACTCTATCTACTTAAGGGGGGCTAGAAACGCTAAACCCCTAAACCCAAAGCTCAGGAACCATGCGGACCGCGTTCCACGGCTCATTGTCCGAGACATCACCTCGGAGAGCCGTTTCTGGCCCACACTTTCTGAAGGCGCCTTCTCTCATGGCGGCAAATTTCTGAAAACTAGATTGGGTTGCTGTTAAGGAGTTTAAATTGAGTTACCGTACTGGGTATATAGAGTAATTAATATGGTTTCCCCAACATCTTAACGTACTTTAAGTTCCTAAACAGCAACCTTGATTAGAGGGTGTTTGAGCTATAGCCTATACTTCTTAACGGGGGGTTCTATAGGGGACTATTTCCGGGGATACTTATAGGGTTTTTAAGCGAGATGCTAGGAGTTAAGACTATAGCTCTTGTAAGCTAATGCAAGGTTTCCTTCATCCAAAGAGGCAATGGTAAGAGTCATCGTCGTAGTAGTCGTGGTGGTGGTGGTGGTGGTGGTGGTCGTGGTGGTGGTGTAACTGGTGGTGTAGTACATGAGCTGTAGAGACAATTCAGAAAATTCATGGTTAAGCCTTGTTTTTGGGCCCTGCATATCCTATGCGTGTGAGCGATTTTTGTAACCCTTCTCAGGCAGCACAGCGCCGCCGAAGCGGCCCGTTTGGGGCGATGGGCAAGCCTGGAGGGTGGGGTGTTCTCAACATCTAAAATCTGAAATCTAAGCTTGGATGCCCTTTACAGTGTAGCACCTGGGATTTAGGCACTTGTTGGATACCCACTTTAAAGGACGGCTCCCAGTTTTTTTGGCTTTGAATGTTGGGTTGTTCTTGGAAATGCACAGGTGGAGCTAAGCTCTCGCAACGAGAGCATCGTGCAGAACGACGGCTACGAGGTGCACGCAATACCAAGACCTCTCCACGGAGTTCGTGAACGACTATTCGCAGTCAGAATTGGACAATATCATACGGTATAGTGACATGGTCGTATCTAAAGCAACCGAAATGCTTCCAGCTCATCTCCTAAGAGTGATACATCCCGATCATCTGTTGGAGGTCATCTTGACGAATCCCACTGCGGAGAGCATAGACTTCAGGGTGATCTTTCACATCGCAGTGCCCAAGAAGATCACAGGCCCTCTGACCGGGTTCAGCAGATTTTTCTCTGTTTGCATGGCCTCTTTCGGCGATCGAGTGATATTGAGCGCATGCAAACAGCAACAAACCGCTCCTAGGGCACATAGGCACAAGTTGGGTTTCAACGCAGAACTGAGATTCCATGCTTGTGGGGAGCTGAGAACCAAATCCTGAATCCTCAAATTGCAATCTTAAGCTGGCTCCTTACAGTCATCATATATGAGCAGCCTCAGGACAGGACGTTATGAAAAACCTGCCCTGAAACCAACAGACCCCAAATGCTGCACCCAGGATTTAGGATTTAGGGTTTAGGATTCAGGGTTAGACTCTAAGCCCCCAAGCGTGTTTGCTTCCGAAGGCGTGGCTGCTGCGCTGCAGAATCGGACCACGGAGCAGCCCTCAGGGCTCCACTTGCAAATCAGCCGCTTATCAGAGTATACTCACTGGGGGTTAGTACGGAATGAGGGAATGTATTACATAGGGGTTAAAGTCCCATATTCCCTACTGAGAACCAGTCAGTAGAGGGTTCAGCGTTTAGAGTCTAGGGTTTAGAGTTTGGGGTTTAAGGTTCAGCATTACATCGTATGGATATGTTTCATCGTTCTGGGCTGGGGTTCTTCGTATCAGGACTTGTGCTGTGGGGTGTATGCCAGGACCCAGACGGGACACTAATTTTCAGACTCATCGCGCTGCGCAGAGGTATAGGGCTCTACAAGGAGTTCCAAGTGTCTTTGCAAACATTTTTAGACTTATGGCTTTTTTTGCAAAATGTTTCAGGACCCAGCAGCCGAGTCAGATTTGCTAGCTGCTAACCCCCAAGCCCTCCACCCTGAACCCTGAACCCTAGGCCCTAAAGCCCGAAGTACGTGCCTAGGTGACACATTGCTTACTAGTGCTTAGCAGGGACAAAGGGAATATAGTCCCTATATATACTACATTCCCTAACCCCTAGTAAGACTGAGGCAAGAACTGGCACGACAATGAGTGCTTTTGGGAGCGCATCAGGCAGGGACATGTCCCGAACTAGGGGGGGATTGCTTGAAACGGGTCAATCACAACCCGAACTAGAACAAAACCTCCGCTATTACCCTAAACCCTAAACCCTAAATAGTAGTCGTCATTTTCTTTTCCATTATCCCTTTTTAACCCCCATAAGTCTATCTACTTAACCCTAATCTTCGCAATATTCTATGAGATGCTATAATGAGGTGTTTTTCTTTTAGTAAGGGTTTTTTCCTTGTCTTAGGGAGGGGGGGGGTGAGATTACGTGGGGGAAGCTTCGGGTGTAGGGTTCCTAGAACTTTGGGTAAGTTTTTCTTACTGGCTCTTAGTAGGGAATATGGGGATACGTTATTATAGGGATTATATAGGGATTATATTCCCATATACCCTACTGAGAACCAGCAAGTTTGGGGTTGCTTGATTACACTAAGGACTATAGCAATTTCCGCGTTTGTGAAGGGGAACCTCCGTTTTTTTTGAAAACTGCCAGGTATGACGGCGAGTGGTACTCGGCTGTTGCTACCGGCCTGCATCTTGAGTTGGGTCGTGTGAATACCCTAGGAAGATCCGCTTGTTTAGGGGTAGTTGAGAAAGTCAGTGTTTTTTTTTGCGTGGGAGGGCCCCTAGGCCTTGAAACCCCAAGACCTGAAACTTCAAAACATCATGTCAGCTAGAACTGTTGAACATTAGCCCTATATACTCCCTATATATTGTATTCCCTTATTCCCTACTGACTGTAAACCCCGTGTTTGCAAATCTATAAATATATGTATATATTGCCTTATTCCCTACTAACCCCCAGTAAGCAACTCTGCTAGTGAGGTTCAAGTGCAGCTGCCTCCCCGCACTCGCTTCAAGAGCCAACTTGTCGTGGCTCGACAGCTTAGGTTTTAGGGTTTAGGGGGACCCTAAACCCCAAGCCCGGGGGTTTAGGGTTTAAGGTGTAAGGATCAAGGGCGTAGTGCTCAGGGATCAGCTTCCCAGACGTTCGACATGCAGGTTTCCAAAGTTTATTGATCCTTTCTTCGGAGGTTTGGGGTCATAATGGGGTTATATTGCGGTTACATTGGGTATAAGGGAAAAGACAATGGAAGCCAGGAATTATAGGGATTTTGTAGGGCTTATATAAGGGAAGTGTGCTAATGGATTTTTGTTGGTCCTTTTTCTTGCAAATGTCCACCTGCCTGCCTCCGCCCCCGCAAAACGGGGCCTTGAGATAGTTTGGGGCATATCGTTTATGTGGTGTCAAAATCTGGGTGGATGAATGTAGGGAGTGTGGATGAGGTTGACAAGGTTGGGGATATTGTGGGTCGAGCCCTGGAAGTTGCATATACTCCAAAATGTCCTTAGTATTAGTAATTAGTACTTGTACAGTGTGAGGGGATGGTTCATTGCACGAGAGTTTTCGCATTTGGCGGAGGGGATTGCTAGTGATCCGAGAGGGAGCAAGATCCAATTTTCCTAAGAGTCCCCCGGGCCCAAGACCGTGTCGATCAGGAATTACATCGTACTCAGCTTTACCAAGTATGGTACAAGGGTATATATTGGGCTTATATAGGGATAATGGAAAAGAAAATGGAAACTACTGTAATATAATAGGGCATATATTGGGGTAATCTTAGGGTTTTTTTAGGGGTTTATTACCTAGCCAAGCTTTGCAAAACCAAGGAGAGTTGAGCAGGATTTCATTTTTACAGGGCACCATAGTCCTCTGTATGGACCAAGACATTCTTCTTCTGCTGCCAATGTTCTATGTGAAGCGTGTAGTCTCAGCTTTTATTCAACGGCAACCTTTCAATTCAGAAGAAGTGCAAGGTGGCCTACCAGTTTTTCGGCAAGCTGCACACAGTGTCCCACGCGCAGCTCTCGCTCATAGGCTTGCACATCCTACATGTTAGAAAGCACATGGGTACCCTTCAAAGTGAGGAGTTGAGATCCTTTATGCCTCGCTTCAACTTACTGGGGCTAGTAGGGTGCTATATAGGCATCTAGGGATTATGTAGGGATCAGAGTCTTTTATTCCATGCCAAGAATCATGAAGTCCGGAAGGTCATGTATTGTACTCTAGATGCTACCCAAAGTGACAATCTTGCAGAGACTTGCCTGCATCTGTGTTTCTTTAAGTGATTGTCCCGGTTTTTTTGCTACTGGTAGCTATCAGACACCCACACCTTTACTTCTATAAAGGTCCAGCTGAGAAGGATGCCACGAGCCAAGGACTTCACCACTTTTCCGTACATTAACCTGAACTCCTTAAAGAGGGGTTTTGTAGGGGGCTAGTATAGGGGTTATTAAGGGGGATACTTGGAGTTTATCATAGCTCGGATATTTCCGCATGAGTGAAATCACAACCAGTTTCCTGTGATTTTCATCATCCAGGCCATAACTAACATGGTCGCAACTTCGTGGGAACTAATTTCAAAAACCTTGGCGCCATCCCGCCAAAAAGCCTATTGGTTTAGGTGGACCCCACCATCCTGCGATAGTGATATAACAGGAACAACAGAGGATCCCAATATAATCACCATTATCCCATACCCTAAACCCTAAACCCTAAACCCTAAACCCTAAACCCTAAACCCTAAACCCTAAACCCTAAACCCTAAACCCCATACCATTATTCTTGGCTGAGGGATCCCCCTAGCCTAACTCCACAAACCCTGAACCTTCAACGATAGTTGCCATTTTCTATTATCTCCATATCACTTAACCCCATCTTTAGGCTTCAGAAGTACTTTCCCTTTTTCGTTTTGATTATCCCTATATAGCCCCAATGTATACTCTATTATAATGTAGTAGTTTCCATTTTCTTTTCCATTATCCCAATATAATCCCAATATTATACCCCTATATAATCCCAATAATCCCTATATATCCCATTATAGTAGTTTCCATTTTCTTTTCCATTATCCTTCGCAGGCTGGTCTGGCTCCAACGGCCTTTGGGAAGAGGCCAGAGTTTAGGATTTAGGGTTTAGGGTTTTCAGTTTAAGGTTTAGAGTTTGGGGTCTAGGGTTTAGAGTTTAGGATTTAGGGCTAAGGATTTAGACTTTGGGGTTTAGGGTTTAGGGTTTAGGGTTTAGAGCGTCTTGGGTCTTGCCCCCCACCCAGTCACAGTATGTATTTTTTTTTATTAAGGCCTATGTCTAACTTCACCCTGAGCCCAAAATGGTGGCCAAGGGTTTGAGGACTTGTGCTGGCAGGCGCAAAAGTTCGAGGGGTTGTAAAACTAATGGTTTCCGTTTTCCTTTCCATTATCATCCCTATATAATCCCCCTAAAACTCAACTAGTTGCAATATGATTCTTATCTCAATGTCTCTGGGTTGGGGTCATACCATTCTGGAAAGGTCAGGCCATAGCCTCGGGTTCTTGAAAGAACAGGATCTTGCAACAAGAGTCCAAATAAAGAGCAGCGTGTTGGCACGAGCCATCCTAAGATGCTTAAGTTAGACTTAGGTCCCTTCAGGGTGCTGTTTTATGTTCCCAGTATTTCTGAGGGTATCATTATTCCGAGATGTAATTTTCCATCCTAGAGGTGAAACCCTCGGGCAACAAAAATCGCCTGTACTCTCCACGCAATCCCCGACATGGACGTCCTTGAATAACTGCACCCCTTCTTGATGCCCTGAATGTCCTGAGAAATACAGGGGAGTTTTCTCACAACTGTGCAGTTCAGCTCCTAAAAGGAACATAAGGAACCCCAGAGGTACCTGTGCAGTCTGATATGACCCTGGGTCCTCCCAGTCTTCTGGCCTACAAGTTTATACCCTGCACCCTAAACCCTTGCGGATCAAAGAGTGACAACGACTCTCTGAGCCCTAAACAGTAAATCCATGAGTGATATTTGTGAGGTTGGACTGGGCACCGAAGGCGAATCCATCACCTTTGAGCCCAATTTGCAGCTTGGTGCTGCAGCAGGCAGACGAGATCTTATGAGACTTTCAAAATGGGGGCTGGAGCAACCCGAGCCACTATAAGAAATTGCAAGAAGTGATATGGCCCAAAAGTCTAGAAGTGAAGTAGTCATTGCTGAAATGAAAAGAAATGCCGCCTCCAGAAGTTGGCGGTAGCTTCCCACGCCCAGAGCTCCCGCAAGGCAACAGCGGAGAAATCTGGTGCTGGATACCCGGCCTTTCCTGGTTTGCAAGATGGATGAGCCCAAATGCACCTGCCAGAAGGACTCTCTTGGGCTTATGGCTTGCCGATTTTCTGCACATGCAAGAGTGAATTCATGCTTTTATCAGTGCTGTGCTTTGCTCGTGATCATTGGTACTGTGATGTATGTAATGCGAAGTTCTCAGCTGCAGGAAGTGAATGCCAGCGGGAGGCGCGAAGCGGACGGGCCAGAAGGGGTGCTTTTTTCCTGTTGCGGTTCCTGAGCTACCATCCTTCACATCCTCTTCTTCATTCTTCTGCCGTCATCCTTGCTTTGGTTGGACTCCAACAGATACTTATCACTTGTTGCTGGGAACTGTGAAGTGGCTTCGCTGACGCCTCCGGGAGCTTTGTGTTTGTGTGTACGAAGTCATGCATGTTTGATGATCGCCGCGGGCACGAAGATGCACGAAGCTTCGCAAGCAGAGGGTCAGGGTAGAGACACGTCATTTGAAGCAACTAGACGCATGCTATGCAGCAGCGCAACTTGCGAGGTTTGCGCAGCACCTATGCAAAGTGGAGAAGGCCGGACTGGCGCACAACAGTCTCTGGAGCTCCAAGCCTAATGGGTTTCCTGTAAAACGCATACCATGACACAGGGATATATGAGGGGCCTCAACAATTTGGCGCATGCCCATCTCAATGCAATTCTCGTGCAGGCGGAAGGCTGTGTGGGTGATGTGAACATCACCGGCTGGACTGAGAATCACGGAGGGTCCGATGCTTGCCGCGCACTTTGCATCTTCGAGTATGTGGCATGCTTTGTTTTTCACTCGGGTAAATCTTTCCTAGGACTTCCTGACGGCCATCGACCCTGGCGGGTCCTACCAGTACTTGACGAATGTGACAGTCACGCACACGTCAAACGGGCCTCGGCTGACGAACGCCACTTACACTGGTGTGACCGTGGATGGTGCAGTACGAGTTGTGCGCACCGTTTCGACGTGGGCCACAGAGGACTTCCCTCGCCACTTGCACTCCTTCCACTATGAGGTCTTGAAGAATGTGACCTACCGGAGGCTGGCCTTCTATCTCCTGGGCGGGGACTGGTACAACTATGTTCTGAACCCTGGCTTCGTGTATGGCGATGCAAAGGGCGTGCAGGGCCAGGTTGTGAGCCTCGCATGCAAGCTAGGAAACGCGCCGAGCCTGGCGCATGTGTTATGACTCATCACCTATAGACATTATACTTCGCCATCGTCACCGAAGTCGCTACAGGGAGTCCTGTACAGTCTCGAAGATTACATGAAGTCATATTAGGCATACCCGCTTCCTCGACTGCCAGTGCAGTCTGCCTCAGGAACATCTCGGAGCCACTGGAGCGCTTTGAGTACGCCAAGGACTTCAAGAACAAAACATGACGCTTTCTTGATGTCTGAAGCTGTGCATTGGATAGGCTAAGTGATAGCCTCGATGTCAAAAAGCATGAATCTTTTTTAGGTCTGTTCTTTGTATGTCCAGTATCTTTCGAGTCATCTTTGATTGTACCTGGATCTGGGTATTCCTTACTCTTGGGTGGTGCTTCCGTTGTCTTCCATTACATGGTAGCAGGCTTGAATTTGAGTCGTTCCACCGTTCTAGAATCTGGGAGAACTCTTTCGATTCGTTTTTGCAATGTATCATTTCTTTGTTGTAGTAAACCGTGGTTGATTATGTTGTTGATAATGATAAACCCTAAACCCTAAACCCTGTGACAATGATGCTGCAAAGGCCTACTTAACATAGGCCTCCCTCGCACCCAAAATGATCCACCTGAATGTCGGGCTCAGCTCCGAAGCCATTAAATCAGTTTTTACTACGATTATGGCTAAGATTGTTATTGTTATGGGTATTTTTAGAGAGGTACTACGGTTATTACTATGATTAGTATTATTATGATCAACATCATTCTTAATATCTTTAATAGTAACAAAAATAGTTTTGATGAGATATTGTTATCACGATTCCTATTATTACTATTTCTGTCGAAAATGACAATATTATTGCTTGTCTTCCGGAAATACCCTGCCCACTCATCCATTCAAGGTACTTGAGGCCTCGTGAATGAGGCTCATGGACAAGCCTCGTAAAGTCCCAACCACCGCCCAAACCATCAAATACATTAGGTGGACCCCCCACCCAGTAATAGTGACTATGAGGGATAATAAGGGCTATATTAAGATCCTCTTATATTCCTATTATGCCGCTATTACAGGGTGGGGGGTCCTCCTAACACCTGAAAGCCTAACGCCCTACCACCTATGCCTCTGACCCACAACCCTCGGGCCCTAACCCCACCCAGCACCGCAGCCTCCATCTAGTGTAGAAGCCTGGATCGGCACCAATACTCTTCACTTCTAATCCTGGTACAGCAAAAGTAGAGGAATGACTCTGTAAACCATTACTTGGACCCACTTCATCCCTGAATCGTAAGTCCTGATCAGGATGGTAGCTCTCATCTTTTGCTCCATTTCATATTTTGGAATCTAATACCTCGGGCAGACATAAAACCCTATTCAAGCCCTATATACCTCTATAAACCTCTTTAGAGGAATTCTGGGAAGCCTATATCAGCCCTATACACCTCTATAAAATCCGTTTAGAGGAATGTTGAGAAGCCTCTATACTCCCTATATACCTCTATAAAACCCCTGTAAAAAATGCTGGGAAGCCTATATAAGCCCTATATACTCTTATAAACCCCTAAACCCTAATCCCTAAACCCCTAAACCCTAAACCCTAAATCCTAAACCCTAAACCCTAAATCATAAACCCTAAACCAGGTACCCACCAAAGAGGCCCTCCCATGATGTCGGATCCGAGGTGGGGAGCCGCCGTGCTGGTTTTCGCTGCTGACGCAGAAAAGCCAGGATGCTTGGGGGTTTAGGGTTTGGAGTTTA